TTCTGGCCCTTCCCCGTCCCCTTCTGCTTCTTCTCATTCTTTGAGGAACCTGGCGGCACGCTGCCATTTGAAGTACTGTGATTCCGTGGAGACGAGTTGGAGATGTTACCCCCGCCTCCGATGGCATTTTTGTAGTTCTTCCCCGTGCCCCCCATATCCTCTTTAGAAGTAGTGTGTGTGTTGGTGTCGGTATGTGTGTTTTCTCCTGCCAGGTCGTTATTCAGTCTCTTTGCCCCGACGTAGTTCTCTATATACTCTGTCTCCTGTAGTTTGGAGTCCAGTGGGTGTATAATACTGTTGTTATTGATTCCAAATGTATTTTGTTTTTTTCCCTCACGCTCTTTTGCAGTACTGTCCTTCCCTTTTTCCCGGTACTCCAGTTCTGGTAACAGGACTGGGGTGCTTTTCTTTCCAGGAGGGGCTCCGTTTTGGGATATTACTGAGGGTTCTACCTCTGAGATCCCTTTAGCCAAAGCAGCTGGAGGAGAACAAATGTAGGCAGTGTTAAAAAACATATAAAAACATACTGGACAGAATGAACCAAATTCCAAAGCAAAATGGAAACATATTTGAACATAAACACAGATTGAATTACGTCATTTGTGACTGATACAAAACAGAGAAAGTACTTTTTTCTTTTGCAAATAACTTAACTGCAAATATCTTTGCTATAAAATAAAAGGACAAATAAAGTTACACAAATATATACACTCCCTGGCCACTTTAGTAGGTACACTACTGTATACAATATAATGCTATCCAGTGCAAGTGCTCTGCCACATATCCTACCTTTTTAATGAGGCTTTTTGTGTCTTTGCGAGAGGGGTTAAATCAACGATGTGTTTATAACAGAGGCTCTAGTTAGTGGTGGTCTTGCACTGGACTGAGTTATATTGAAATGTGTTTCTAGTATTCTTCCTCTCTCGTGTAAATGGGGAGGGAAAAACATTAGAAACACTTCTCTCAATATGATGCAGTCCAGTTCAACACCACTGCAAACTATAACCGTAATAAATGTTTAATTAACTTAATACCTCTCTGACAGTGTCAATTAAAACTGAACGTAAAGGTAGAATTTATGTTACCTGTTGTATTGGATTGCATTGGATATCACAGGTGTACCATTTTCACTGAGTATGTATGTGAATGTCAGTCTTAAGAACACTGAGAAAACAAAAAACTGTATAGCCCTGGATAAATGTGGCAATGGAATTTGTTAAGGGTGCCGTACAATTCTCTCAGGTTCATACTTGTTGTTAGGGTTTCTACTAGAAAATGTTCACATGCTTTAATGTTCAAAAAACACATATTTCTCATACTGTCCACTGCTTCAGCACCTCTTTTCATTCTGTCTGAACACTCAGTTTTAGCTCCTGTCTCTTTAACACCCTTCTCCCTGAAAGCCCACTTGCATCTGATTGGCCAACCTCTCCAAGCACAGAAGAGGGGCGTGGCTTAGCTAAATCAAGGCTTGGTATAGGAGACTAGGATCTCTGATGTCTTTCGGCTGCTTTGCCTCCACTTTTGCCAATTTATGGAGTTTATATGTTACTGGTTACTTTAGCAGCTAACTACTGCAATCAGCAGCGGCTACTCAGTTAGCCGTGCAGCTAGCCTATTGCTGATTCTCCCTGGACTGAAAGATTGGTGCTTCGAGGTGTGTTGGTGTTTACACCTCTTACATTACAGTACAGAAGCTTTGGACCGCTGGTTCAGAGCCAACTGATAACAGGAGCTACTGTTACGAACAGCTAGCGGTTAGAAACCTGTAGCGTTAGCAATCAGTATAGCTATCTGTCCATGAGGAAACTTTAAAAATCAGAGTTAAGGCAGAGCAGCCAGAGGACATCAGAGGGAAAACCAGAAAATAAAAGCATGTTAAAAGCACTTTCTGTGAGACATGCTGCACTGCGCTGCACAACCTCCAGCTGCTAACTCTGGAACGTAGGCTGGCCTATGTCACTTTGGGGGCGTAAACATCCCAGATGTTACTTAACATCTACCGCTTGTTGGCTTTTGCCCGTTTTTCAGGAGTGGGTGAGCGAGATTTTCATATGGAGGAAACAATGGAGACTGAGGCTCATGGTACGTCAGTTACATGCACTGAACTCTTTTTATTCAACTATGCCAAGGTAAATACAGTTTTTCATTCTAGGGAACCTTTAATTCAGTAAACACTAATTCCATGCGTGTTACAGCACCTGGTAGTTACATCCCACAATACCGACAGTGAACACCGCAGTCTTCCTTGTTTCCTGCCCCGGAGTGTCCTCACATTACAGTGTTGATGGAGTGTTATTCTACTGCCAGTTTTGCGTCTTCAGTCTATTGTGTTTTACTTTGTTAATAAGTATTGTAATAAGTGTTGTATTTTGTGTGCGTGCATGTGTCTCACCCTCCTCTGCCTCCCTCTCCTGCCTCTGCAGCATCTGTTGCTCTGGAGGTAAAGCCTGCTGTAGAAGCTGCATATAGAATTCATTCTCCTTCTGCACTTCCTTCTGTTTCCTCAGTCGCATTTTGTAGCTGACGTAACTCTTAAAGCCGAAGCCCAGAGTCACCACTGGATAGCCGATACTGGAAGGTGATAGAGTCAAAAAAAAAAATTTGTGTATGTTTTCGTTTTTACTATTAATCAAGGCCATAAATTAAATAAAAAATGTTTACTTATATTATAGGGCATTGTCAAAAGACTCAGATGTTTACCAGTGAGCAGCAAATGGTCGACACAGATCTACATGAAAGTTCTTAAGATCTTTAAACCGTATGGCGGCTTCGATGTACACAAACAGGATCCACAGCGATACAGTGGGTAAACAGACTCCTCTCTCTATGCAAAAGTAAAGGACAAGAAAAAATAATTATAAATCAGCACTCTTGCTGCACTGAAAAAAATTGGCAGCTATGAATTTCTTGTGCACCAAGTGTTTAAGGTGAAAGTAGCTGTTTGGCTGGCGGAGATGAAAAGGAGCCTGCAGGAAACTTGGACTGACCTGTGTGCCAGACATACTGGACCCATACGTAAGTGCTGGCAGCAAAAAACAGCCACTGGACGGGGATGAAGAGGAGGCAGATGATGTCTGACGTAAACGCCACACATACGAAGAAGACAGAGAACGCCTAAGTGTAGGAGGCAGACAAAGACAATTAAATACGCCATAGCAACTGTGCAGAAAACATGTCCATACACACATGCACTAATATAGAGGTATGTGTGCACATGCATGACTCCATTACACTTACACATCAACATGTACACTATAAAACAAACTCAAAAAAGCATATGTTGCTGCTTCCCCATCCAGCACTACCATGTTTAACAAGTATGAACTTAGCTACCTTTATCCAATTTGATTTGAGTGTTTCTTTGTTGCACCCCTGTACAGTTGGTTATTTCCACTGCATATTTGCCTTGTGGATTGGAGCTGCACAGCATTTAATCGTTGTTGTTTATTTATGCGCTGTAGAGTCTACACCACCTCCAGCTGGGGTAAAAGCATGCAAGTTAATGTCAGGTGGAAAGGGACATCAGGGTTATATAAACAAGCTCTTACCAGTCCCTGATATCTAAAGGAGTCGTAGACACTTCGAATGAAAAGCCAGAAGGGCCACAGGTACTCAAACCTGAACTCCAGCACAAAGTCGGCCAGCAGCACTAGCACCCACACCACCAGGAACTTCAGGTACAGAAATGTGCTGTAGGAGAAGACAAGATAAAGAAGTAAAAAAAAGAAAAACACAAGAAAGAGACAAAGAGCATTAACAGGTTTACTGTGGATTTAGATGGTATCATAACAAGCCTTTGGACGTCAGGTTTATACAACAGTCCTGTGTTTATAATGACATCTCCAGTGTGACTGCAGACAGAGGTACCTCAAAATCTTACTAGATTTGAGGGTAGATAAATGCCAATTCAACAGTGAGCATGAATGCAAATCTAGATATTCAAGTCTAATCATGTGTTTTTATTTTTAGAGAAAATTAAATAAAAAATTGTTGAGAGGCATCCAAATAGGTAACAGACAGGGGTTGGAAATAGATAGAGATCTAGTACTTATACAGTGTCATGTCTGGACATGTGCTTAAAGCACAGCTGGTATCCTATTCCTGGCTTGCCATCAATCAATCTATAGGAGAAGGCATGCTATTTTGACATGTCTCCTTAAATTATATTTGCGCGTTAGATATTGCAGTCAGACCTGATTGCTTGAGGTGGTTATTGTTTCATTGGTGTTTTTCCAAATTTAGATATCTGCCAGACAAAGCACAAGTGAGAGTGAGACCACCCCGCCAGCGGCGTCACCCCGGACTTCAAAACGAGCGCCTCTGACTTTGCTGCTGACATCTCACACTACAGCATGATTATTCTCACTTCACGTTATCTTTGTTTTAGCAGAAAACATTTCCATTGAGCCCGATGTGTTACAATTCATGCTAAATGCCCGCAGAGTCACGCCGCCACATTTCATTTTAATTTGGTCAGAAAATGAATTGAACTAACGCAGCTGTACCGTTAATGTTACATTGCCAGGGACAAATCATGAACGAGATGTCTCACAGTTCACGTTAACGTTAGGCCTATAAATTTTACAATACACGAGCATGTTAGTTTAGCTCTTTCTGTAGGTAATAACCCAAGCATGTCTGAATATGAATGTTGCAGAGGTTGGCAGCCCTGTCTTGACATATGAACAGAGGCGCCATTGTTATACAATAACGTCCCTCCAGCCCCTTTTTTGTACCTGCTATATATACCGTCGGTGATTCGGTTCCGTTTTAACGGCCGTCGGAGTTTGCTGCAGTCCGCATTGCGCCGCTTCATCCTCCCCCTGTTGATTCACTTGTGATATCGGTCTGGTAACTGTAACTGGAAATGTCATTCGCTCATCCTAATATTCCCACTTCTTCAATTATCCACCATTGTTGTTGTTTTATGCACATGAAACAAAGAAATAAATAAAAACAGTCCGCGGAAGGCCCTCCCCTTTTCACGACACGCTGCGTCCCCTTGCTAACGGTTGACGTCATGCCGCCATCAGAGGCGTACGAAACATGGCTGCTCCCTGCGAGTCCAGACCGAGACGTTTTTCCTCAATTTTAAATATTTAATAGTCACTTCTGAACGGTAAGTGGGATAATAACGGGTTGCAGTGATTTTACTTTACTTTATGCGCTGCAGTTTGTTATGTAAACCCTACAGGTGCGTAAAATAAGGATGTTACATCACAGGGTAAAAGTATCCATGCTGACTCTACCACGTTTGTTTGGCAGTCTTGATCTGGCATTTAAGCACATTGTTGCTCTTTCGACAGGAAAGTATTTGGTTTATTGAGCTGCGACGTGACGTTACAAAATTGCATATAGTTTCGAGAAATCAGTCCATGCTGTTATACGAATGCATTTTGTGGAGTTTTGATGGGAAAAAGCAGCGTGAGTGGGTCACGCTGCTTTTTCCCATCAAAACTGCAATGTTGAAAATTTATGAACAAATATGTCAAGTTTTGAATAAATATCAGCTTTATTTATATAGCACACTTAAAACAACCAAGGCTGACCAAGGTGCTTTGTTGGTTAAAAATATAACAATAAAACAGTAATTACAAAGTAAAAGTACAGCACGAACTTTGACATTCTGGTCTCCTGATGAAAATGGAAACTTTTCACCTATATATCATGTTAAGTTTTTGTATTTCTGTTGTTTTTGCTATTTTATGTTAAATAATGTTAGTGCCAGTGAGAATAAGTGGGCTGCAGTCAGAAATAAGATGGGTTTATGTTTCAACAGATGATGAATACCACAGACAAGGTAGAGAAAATGGTGCCATCTGCTGAGGAAGAAGAGGAGGAGGAGGAGGAAGAAGGAGAAGAGGAAGATGGAGATGATGAAGAACAGGAAGGTGGAGGTGATGAGGAAAAGGAGGTAGAAGCAGATAAAACTGGGGAAAATATTCAATTGCCCGCTCAACCCAGTGAGAAAAAGCAGGCTGAGGGCCTGAACCTGAACAATGAGGTGGTGAAGATGAGGAAGGAGGTAAAGAGGTTGAGGGCGTTGATCATCAGGAAGCTGACCCGACAGATTGGCGGCCTGAAGAAGAAGAAGGGGACAGATACCGAAGTTGAGAGGAATCAGAGGAGAGCTGCCAGACTGCTGGAGGAGATCCACGCCATGAAGGTCCTCGTACCAGACCTGGTAGGTTTTGGAATTACTTCTTTTAATTCACTATTTTTGGCATACATTATTCAATATTTTTTTATTAAGTTAGTTAAAAAGTTACTCAAATTAATGATGCTTTTCCAAAATGGTGAGACACTAATGGAAGTGTATAATTGGATAAACTATTTTCCCTGTTGCTAGGTGACAAAGACAGCCTTGCAAAAGAATCTCAACTTTGAACAGGTGTGTAAAAACCCAAAGTCTACTATTTCGGACCGGGCCGTAGCACGCATCGCCACACACCCACAGTTCAACAAGAAGATTGAGGACATCAAAGCTGCTGTGAAAGCCTTTAAAGAAGAGCGGATGAAGGGTGGAAAGCAGGGAGGGAATGAAAAAGTGCAAAGTAAAGCTGGAAAGGTGACTCCACAGTCATCAGGAAAAAAGATAGAAAGAATGAGTGAAGAGGAGGACATAACAGTGGAGCAAGAGGAAATAATAGACAATGAGGAAGGAGATGGCATCATTAAAGATACTAAAGATGCAACTGTTGCCAAACCTGAAAAGGAGCCAAGGAAAGCAACTCCTTCAGCTGATGATAGTCAGAGGAAAGAAATACCAGAGCCTAAGAATGTAAGACCAGCATCAATAAAAAGTAGTGAAGTAAAGGACATTGTGAAAAATAAACCTCAAAGTAAAGAAGCAGAAAAGAAACCTGCTCTTAAGTCTGCACCTGAAGCGCTTCAGAAAAAGACAGATGAGGAAGAGAGTGATATAGAGCCATCTGATGATGAAGAAGAGAAAGAGTACTTTGATGACAGCACAGAAGAACGTTTCCGCAAGCAGTCCTCTCAGTCTGAGGAGAGTGACGATGACGACTTCTTTGTTGGAAAAGTGAGCAAATACAAGAAGAAGAAGCAGAAAAGTGTAGAAGTTGAGAAGGGGCATGAAGTGAAAGCGGACCCAGCAAACCAGCTCCAGAGTAGACTTGATGAGCTTGAGTCCAGGCTTAAGTCTAAAGCGACCTCGCTTCAGTCTGTTTTTTGTTCTTCCCTCTCTGCGTCTAAGCCTGGTGGGGGCAGAGGTGCAGGCAGAGGGAGAGGTGGGGATACATTTAGGGGCCCAGGGAAACCAAAGGGTGGCAGCGGTCTAAATAGAGATTTTAGTAAACAATCCAAGTTCAAAAATCAGGACAAAGGAACAGAAAGAAATCCCGAGTCAAAGTACAGCAGGCCCCGCCCTGAGGGCAGACATCCTGAGTCGTCAGAGAAGGGCTCTGCCGGCCGAGGTAGAGGGCGAGGCAGAGGTGACGTTTTTAGGCAGATTGATCGCAGGGGTGGAGGTGCCTTTTCCTATCAGGCACCACAGCAGGCACTGCATCCATCCTGGGAGGCCAGTAAGAAAAGGAAGGAGCAGCAAGGGCAAATCCTGGCCTTCAAGGGGAAGAAGATCAAGTTTGAAGATGATGACTGAAACTATCTTTCTTTCTTTTTTAATGCTGAATACATATCTTTGGTTGAGTGTCTCACATGCCATATTTGAATAAGTTTTGTTATCCGGCACACTAGTGAAGTGTAAAGGTTGTCACTTATTCTGTATCTCCAGTGTAATTCATTGACAGTGTTTTTTCATCTTTATGGCTAGCAAAAGACAAAAAGATATTTGTTTAAAGCATCGTAAATGCTTTTCATAGGAAGGGTTTACCAGTTAACAGTTTGAGGAACATGTAATTTGTATGAATGCCAGTTATGTGGGAAATGTAACGGGGGGGGGGGGCTTGGGAAGTAATATTGTTAGGTTCTTATGTTTTGACCTGTACACAATTTCATGCTTTGTCCAAAATGGTAATTAGGGCCCAGTTATTGTATAGTACATATTCTCTGAACTTGGTGTATGGTGATACACATTATCTGCAGTGAGATCTTAAACCAAGTGACTTTTCCCTGTTTTTGTTACTTGTCTCTAACCAGCTATGTTTAAACTATATAAAGTTTATATTATATTTACGGTTTTAATGTACTTTGCTGTTGGATCTTCATGTCAAGAAAACTTCATTAAAAGCATTTTAAAAATATTATTTCAATCATAAAAAACGCAATTGATCAAAAACAATACTTGAAATCCAGTTGTTGCAGGGCTCTGCAGCCATTGGACGGCTACAGCTGCGTCAGACGTACACGGCGCTGCGTACACAGTGATGGCCAATAGTAATTTACATGCAAATGTGGTTCAAACCTGTCCCGGGGAGTCTGAGTTTCGTGCGTGGAAGAACCTCGTTCAGAATCAGCACGAGTCACGTGATATGTTGTACGAGCGATAGACTTGATAAGTTGGCAGAGAGGCAGCTGGGACAAGATGAGAAAAGGGGCTCCTCGGTGGCAGTGTGCACTCTGGACAGCAACCAGGCAATGCGGGGCGTTCCGAGAATAGGTCGACTGTACTCCAGCCCTCCGTCCTGCGTTATACAGGGCCGTTAATGTCTGGTCCTCCGAGCTGACTGACGGTCTCTAACGTTACACCCCCCGGATCCTCAACAGCCGGGACAGGGCGGAAATTTAAGCTCGAACGAGTTCAGGTCATAGGCTGTATATAAAGATGGCTCAGGCACGTAAAGCTAAATTAACCAGGCGCAGAGCTAACAGTGACATTAACACCATTGGTAACCCGAAATGCAACTTCACTTAGCTGGCTGAAGTACGCAACGGTTACCGTGGTTGTTAACGGAAGCTCTAGATTTGTCTTCAGAATAAAGTAAAAGTAGCTGGTGCTTTTGTTTTGGACGATTGAAGTGCAGTACAAAGTTAGTAATACGTGGAGCCATCTTGTATTAGTTTGCTTGACAGAGAGAAGGACATGAAACTTTATTGTGAGAAAATCAGCTCCTAATGAAAGCGAAACATTTATTGTGGAAGGTGCTTACACACGTTGGGCTGGTCTATATTTATAAATGTATTTATTTTATTATTTCCACACCATGCCACTACCTCCTGCAGCGACCTGTGCAATGTTCATATCAATCGCATCTGTATATGGCGTATATCTAAATTCTTATTATTTTTTCTATTTCTTTCTACTCTATTATATTTTTTTATTCAATTTTTTAAATCTAATGTGTATTTTATTAATGTCTGCTGTGTGTACCTGGAGCTGTTGTAATAACACAATTTCCCCAGTGTGGGATCAATAAAGTCTTATCTTACTGAAAAACAAGTGGGCTCCTTTAAAATAAAACATTACTACTCTAGCAGTAGTTAAATGTTAGCGTGCTACTACCTGGAGTTGGGCCAGATCTATCTAGAATTGGGACAGAAAAAGTATATTAATGGTTCATTGAAACACAGTAGCACTGCACTACAACACTAAAGATCACTGCATGTGTCTGATTTTTATGGTATATATATATAATTATGTCGTGTGAAAAAAGGACACGTCTGCTTAAATTGCATGCTTTTACGACATCTATTGAATGTCTCTCCTTCCTTGGATACGAATCCTAGTCCAGTCGAAGGTCTAAAAACAGAGGGTATCGTAAATATTGTAAAGCTCAAATTTATGATGTTGGGCTATATAAATAAAACTTGACTAAGACTTGATTTTATTTTGAAAGTAAATTCGCGAGGCTTCGGCTACATGCGTGTCTTTCCGGTAACTTTACGCTTGTTTTACCTTGGGTTGAGGCATCACACCGCGCCTTATCGGGACATACTTTTACACACTTTGGTCTTCGAGTGCCGCATACGCTGACAACGCTCTGTAACAAACGAGTTTCTGTGAGAATACATTGGTAAGGAGGCAACTATAAACTGCAATGCGTTCATTACTGCTTGAAGCAAACTACAGTGTAGGCCTCTGGTACGCATGGGAGGGGGATGGGGAGATGTTGCTTCAACTAGCAAAACACACTGGTGAGGGAAGCTAGCCTCTGTCTCAACCCCCAGGTATTGACAATCCTCAATTACGATGAATAACCAGCTCCAGATGACAAGATGAACTAAATATGTAACGCAGAGACACATTCCTTGCTTCTAATTCCATGCAGCTTAAGTCACAAGTGCATACAATGGATTCATGATAACTTTATATTGTATTATTGCCCAAAATGGCTGCCCTGTGAACAAGAGGATTTAATAAGATAATTGCAAACTAAAAGCCTAAGTTGTATGATATTGTAATACCACAATTTAGATATACACGATGATTTCTTTAACTCAGGAAAAAAGAAGGCTGGAGCTGGAAGCCGGCGGCCCCCAAGTCCTTCAGGATGGTGGCACGACTGCCAAAGCCAACAATCCACTGGTGCCTCTGCCCCACACTGGAGGAGAGAGTAAGATATGTAATGTTTCAATAGCCAGTTTTGCCTGGCAAGAGAAGTGGGAGAGCTTGTGCTTCTGCAGTTTTTTGTGTCTAAACTGTCAAACCTGATGTAACCAGTTCACACATTCTTTTCAGTCTGTGAGCAAACAAGCACTTTGTCAAGTTAACTGGTTAACTTGCAATGCTGTAAATGGTGTTTGCTGGTGTAAGCGCCCCCCCAAAACAAATTCAAGGATGGTGGTAATTGAGTTTAATGGCCTGGTGGGCTGGTTTGTGTTTTTGCAAAGATTCCAACAGCTTAAAATTAACCACTTTTTAGGGTTGTTTTTGACATACTTGTAATCTTTAGGAAGTTTCCAAAGTTGCTTGTAGTTTGCTCTGCTTTTCCAGAGAACCCCCCTCCATTGTCAGTGAAACGTTAGTCCCCTTGATGGACTGCTGAATCATGGTTCTGCTGTTCATTTTCATAACTTTTCCTGAAGGCTAAAAATCAAACTTTCTGCTGCTCGATGGCACTTTCACCACACGCTCGACCAGAATTGAATGACTCCAAACTCCACCATATTGTCATTTGGAGCATTCAGTTTAAAATGAAATTTGATAATTTATGATGACGAAATAGTGTCTAATGTCTTATTACAGGGATGTCAGATTGTATCATAGTGTAGCCTATAGTGGTGCATGTCAGCCGCCCCGTCACCCACTCCTTGTCCTGCTTAGTCGCAACCAAATAATGGCTGGCAAATGTTTGAAGAGATAGAATCAAAATAAACACACTACAATATGACACATCAGGACGGCTATAGGAATCCGTAAAGAAATCATGACTAATTCTCAATCCTCAACCGTTTTTCTAGCTCCCGCCTCCTATCCCATAGCGCACAAGATCTTGTTTGAGAAGTCGCGCAATGACACATCGCTTGGGTTCTTAACGCAGAGGTTTGCGGAGCTGCTTAGGAGCTCTGCTGACGGGGTGTTGGACCTTAACATAGTGTCCCAGCAGCTCAATGCCCCTAAGAGACGTGTCTACGACGTCACCAATGTCCTGGAAGGGATCCAGCTCATCAAGAAGAAGTCTAAAAACTGCATCGAGTGGTTGTAAGTATGAGTGGATGTAGCAGGTAGCTTGTACAGCCCATATATGCACATTATGGCTGCTTTAGCTTTCTTAGCGTGTTTTAAGGACAATTCAATGTTTATCAGCCTTAACAAATTATGACCAATACTACTGTTCAGATCTCAGACTTAATTTGTTGTTTTCCTCAGTTCTTATTATTTTTGTTTCTCTTGTGAGTTTGATGTGTTGAGCGATGTTTGTTGTGGCGTTAATCCTGTTTTGCTGCTCGGATGTGTTGTGCACAGGGGCGGTCCAGTGAACTTTAACATAGATCAAGAGCTGACGGCTCTCATTGAGGAGGAGAGGAAGCTGGACGAGTTGATCCAAAGCTGTACGTGGCAGGTTCACCAGCTGTGTGAGAACAGTCACAGTCAGAGATATCCTTTGATCGCAATATCCGCTTACTTTTTTGTTCGGCGTTGTGTGAAAAGAATTGTTGATGCTAGGTTCTAAATGCCAATCTGAACCAACAGTGTTCTTGTTTTAGTGTGGGTTGGTCGGAAGAATGTGTCACTTATGATGTAAATTGGGGGTTTAGTCATTGATTGCATCCCCAGCTGTACACCAACACTGGTCTAGCTTCATTGTATTCCTTAACGTTGAGGATCACATTTGCGTATTTGACTTACGAGGACGTCCAAAGAATTCCCAGCCTGAAAGGACAGACTGTGATTGTGATCAAAGCCCCGGCAGAGACAAAACTGGAAGTGCCACACCCAGACGAGGTACATTCTTCAGCATAATTAGTTAATTATTATTATTTTTATAATGAAACTCAATATTCTGTCTTGAAACCCCGGTCATTCAACACAGGGTGGTTAATTGCAGCACTGGCTGAATCATTTTCTTGCTACATCCTCACAGGACATTTGTTTTTGTAAGTGTCTGCTGTCCGCTCATATTCAGAGACCATTTCCTAAAAGCACTCTTGTCTGCTTCGCCTGTGCTCAGAGCCTCCAGGTCCACCTCAGCAGCACACAGGGACCCATTGAAGTGTTCCTCTGCTCCGATGACCCCATCCCTATGGAAGCCACAGACAGCTCTGTGGCCAATTGCAGCCACTTAAACTCATCCCCCAATGGGAACGTCTCTGGCTCCCCTTTGCCTTACTCGTCCTTCGTCCAGGTGTCTTCCAATGGTGAGTCTTGCACTTAAGATCCCATTGTGCTTTGTTGCCACAGAGAAGGAGGCACCTACCCATAGGCTTTTCCCATACATACATACATACATACATACATACCTTTATAAAATACTTTACTTAGTTTGACCCTACTGGCAGAATGTTGGCTTCTTTTTCCTTCCCCCCATGTCTCCTTATCCGCACTCCTGTTATCTTTCCAGACAATGCAAACTGCACTTCTGGAATCAATAGTATCTCCAACCCGCCGTTCGAACCGAGACAGCACTCCTCACCAGCTACCGTCTCTCCCATGCCCACCTCCCTCCAACCCCCCTCTGAAGATCAACAGAGCTTTGTCACCCTCACCCCACCACTGGCCTTCTCTCTTGATGGGAAGGAGTACCTCCTGAGCCTTGCTGAGGACGAGGGCATCACCGACCTCTTCTCCTCTGTGGACCTGGACCAGTTGTCCCTGGATATGCCCCTCTGAACAGCCGTTTTGGAAATACAATAACTTTGGAGGCAATGGCCACCTTCCCACAAACAGGATATCACGCGGATGCAATAAAAGAACAAAGTGCTCATTCTTTTATATTTACATTTGCTTGTCCTGGAGGATGTGACTGCGATTTGCTGACACACGGGTTTGTGGAGGAGGTTACCCAAAAGTATCACATTGGAGTGGTCTTGGAATAGCTATGTATTTCGAAAAACCCAAGTGAGATCTTTTTGATGGCTTCCTTGTTGTCTTTAGGACTTGGACTCGCATGCATGATAGACAGAAGGTTTCAGACTTTTTAATCTGTTACATTTCTTTGTGTCCTTCCGAAGTGTCCTTTTCAAAAGTCAGAGCTTTGCTGTCTCAACACGGGACATATTCTTGACCATTAATGTCTTGACATGATGTGAAGACTATTTGTATCACAATCACCAAAGAGCCTTCACAACAAAGCTTAAAAATTTAGACACCTATTTAACATAAAGAGGTGTTGATTAAAAGCATTAAAAATGCAAATAACCCACATGTCTTGTGTTGGCTCTGCTACAAGGGATGATTGTTTCTCACCTCATACTGATTGACTGATTACTAACTACCTAAACTCACAGTATCTGCTGATATTGAGCACCGATCTTATTCCAGTGCTATTTTGCAAAAATCTGTGTAACTCACTGGAATTCCCTGGAATAATTTTTTTATGTAAGGTGACGTGGGGCCAGGGAGTTGGCGGCCCAGCATGACATTGGACACTGAATTTTATTATCACATTGACAACACGATTATAAGATTTAATGTCTATAGGTTGTGTTGTGGCTGATACACGATCCATTGATTAAAGTCCGTATCGGGCCAGTACCGATCATGGCGTATCATCACTGTTTCTGTCTGGATCCAGTTTGGGCTTGATAGTTTTTCAAGACCTGAGTATTTTTGTTTTTTTTACTAGAAGTGCAGTTTGTATATTCAGAGGTGATTCACACAAAACATTAATGGGCTTTTGACACTCAAATTCCTCTGTTGTTGGGGGAGGTTTGTATAGCTTGTTCATTATAAATCTTGCAGCTTCTGATCAAGATTACTTGTTAAAGCTGCCTGACATTAAGGCCTGTAACTTGTTTACTGTCAACACACAACAACTGAAAGCATTTGCATAGGAGAAACCTTTAGCTTCTCTGGATAAAACCTGTCCTTGATTGCAAAGAAACTGAAAGTGTGACTATCCATATCAGGTCAGCACAGCTCTGGTATAGTGTCAATTTAGGTGGGTGTATATTAAGGACATGTTCAGGTGTTTGCTCTCAAACTGAAACCTTGCTTGCTCCATTGACTAGCTCAAATGAATGCTCTCCACAGTCAGTGTTTAGAAAACTGTAAAATAAGCTCAAAACCAAACATGGACAGTGTCAGACGTGAAGTAGAGCCTTACACTTCTGGATTTCTGTCATTTTTGCTCTTCTTAGCAATTTAAAATCCAGTACGAGTAGTTGAACAGCTAACTGTTGAAATCTGCGCTATATTAACAATGGCTTCATCTACCCCAGTATAGTCCCATTTAGCCACAAGCCAGCCCTGGACTTTGACCTGTTTGTGGGGGGAGGAGTTGGGAATAACATTGCTGTAAAAATGAATGTATGAAGACTGAGCCTTTTTAGAAGTGTGACACTAAGGTCTAATCTAGGCTTGTGATAGAGTGTGTGTGTGTGTGTGTGTGTGTGTGTGTGTGTGTTTTTTAATCTTCTGTTAGGAGCTTCATGTCACGGATTTTCCTATTGTATTCAATGACCTCAGATTATTCCTTACTTGACAAACCACTTACTGTAGCAAATGCTATGCACCAAATTTGTGCCATATGCACCTTTTTTGTACCCAGAAGACAAATTTTACAAGTTTGATTTATCATTTTACAACGCAGGGTTGTTTAAGAAGATTCATTTGTATTTCCCTTTATGATCCTCACACAAGCAAACCTTATATATACAAAAATCATACAATGTAGATGGGTGGTGATGAATTTAAAAGTTTCTCAGCCTGGGAAAAGCAGCTGCTCTGCAGTCTGGTGGTGCAACAGCGGAGACTTCTGTATCTTTTGCCAGACAGCAGCAGGATGAAAAGGGTGCGGCAGGGTGGGTACTGTTTTTTTAGTATCCTTTAGACTCTGGCAGGCACCTTACCAATATCACTGATGCTCGGTAGATGGGTACCAAAGATCTTCTGAGTAATTAAATCACCTGTTGCAGAGCTCTGGTCCTGGGCTGTGCACATGCCAGTTTGTGATGATTGCAGTCAGGATGCTTTCTTTTGCTCCTCTGTATAAGCTGACAAGAACTTGGCACGGGAATTTGGCCTTCTTAAGCTTCCTCAAGAAATACAGTCATTTCTGAGCTTTCTTCACCAGCGTGGAAATGTGAGATGACCATGTCAGGTTCTCTGTGATGCTGATTCCTCAGCTCCACTGATGTAGACAGGAGGGTGTGTCTTCATCTCTTGTTTCCTGACATCAATGATCAGCTCCTTAGTTTTGCTGACGTTGAGCAGTAGGTTATTCTCTGTGCACCACTCTGCAAGTTTTTCGATTTCATCCCGATATGGAGTCTCACCGTAGTTTAAAGTCTTGCAGATGATGGTGGTTATTATGCAGCCCACATTCTCAGTTCTGCTGAAAGAAAGTACTGTATCAAGCTGTGATAAACAGAGGTGTGCCTGGTTACATGTTCTCAAACTGTATGTGTTGCTTTGATCATTTGTCCATTATTTTGAAATGCACTCCAAAGCAAATCATTAAGTTTTCAAACTACCCATGAAGACATTTTAATTGTTGTATATTAAGTTTTTTTAAAATAATAGTTTTTATGGAATTTGCATCTTTTAATGGCAGTCATGAAGTAATTTTTTTAATAATAAAGATTTGTTCTTTTATGTTACATTGCAGCTTTTATGTAGTATTTGACTGCTACATTGACTTCCAAGATATTTGACTTTTGCTTCACTTATTTTTAAAAAAAGGACTTCACTTGCTGAAATGTTCGGTGTTAAAGTCATGACTAATGTCCATAAACAATGAGGACATTTCTTACTTAGCTGGGCAAGCAGTGAATAAAATAACATATTCCACACAGGAAACATTGGCAGTTGTTTTTATACATTATACATTGAGCAGGCAAATTTATTAATTATTTTAAAAATGGTATAACTGGCTAACTAATTTTGTATGAATAATTAATTGACTTATTTCAGTAGTCAATATTGTCATTACAAAGCTGAAAGTCCATTACAAGAACTCCAAACAGTATTCACTTAGTTAAATATCTTGGGTCACTGAAATTCATTTTAAATGGTAATTATGACAGTTCATACATGTTGGAAAATAATTAGACTAATAATAACTTGCATCAATAAATTATAACTTTATAATAATTTATTAACTAGATGTTGGTTTTTCTCCATATAGTATTCTTAAAACAACTGGAAATGTGTTTTCCCAATGTATCCCATTAACTAATGAGTACAACCTTCCAGAGCCATACAGGTGCAGGTGAACCACTTGCTACATGAATGTGTCCAAAGCATGTGACATGACTAGATGTTACAGCTAGAAGAGGTGAGTTGTTTTGCTTTGTTTTAGTAACAATATGTGCTGCATGCCAAAATGTAGCAGTGTGAGGTTTCCTCTTTCACTGGCCTGCTACATGAAAAGAACGGTCATCATGTTCTGTGCTTCATAAGGGTGTTCACTCAGTCCACCATGCAGTACTAAGTCAGTGAATATCTCACTTTTTAACCTGTTTACCACCAACCTTACCCATTGTTAAATCAAGCTGACTCTATTGCAATATATACGGAGACACTAGGAGTCAGTGTGATCCCACAGCATCCCTGCCATAGTCACATGGCTGTGATGTTTTGAAACGATGTGACAAAGTGTTACCCATCTCTGTTACCCAAACTCAGTGGAAGCCTGTTGTCTGTCATGCCAAGACATGGCAATGGAAATGTTTAACGTTAAAATTAATTAGTGGAGAAAGTTTTAGAAAAAAGGAATAGGAACGCCCACGTCTAGGATGTGGTCAGCTGCAAAACATCACCTCCAAGGTCGGACAGGAACAAGCTGACACAGTCATGTGACAGTTTGTCCTCTGTCCTCCTGAACTTTTTAGGGGTTACCGCTGATGAATTACATTTTGAAATGGCAGATCTGGTCTACCTGCTGACTGAAAAATGCCTTTTATACACGTTATCTAACGAAATTGTGTCAATATGCATACCGCCTATTAAACAGCAATAGAGAACCCAGGTTTGACTGACATCACTGGCTGACCTGATTACTGTTCATTTAGGCTATTTTATGGTACATTGATAGGAAACAAGACTTTGGTGACTTAACTGGGTATCAGGTAGATTATTTATCAATTTATCTTTATATTTCAGTGAGTACACATTACTCAGATAAATCAAATCAGATATGTTTTAAGTCATTGTTTTATGTGAAATATTCTTCCACATATACTCCTTTTTAAACTTTCTCCAGTATTTCTTTCCTGTGTAGAATACAACTGTCCCTGTTTCTCTTTGTCTGAGCCACAGCTTCTTAGAAAAACACATCAGTGCCCTCAACATGATGATGTAATCTATCGGGAGCCTGCAGCATCCAGACCTGTCCATAGGTGGCAGTGTTGTACCTTAAAACCCCACTTGAACCCTGTCAACCCAGTTCCCCACAAACAGGGGCGCACACACTTTGAGTTCACGGAGAGTCACTGGATCACTGCTGTTATTGATTCATGTGCGTCTCTGTTGTTTTTTTTTTTGTCTCCTCTGTGCCACAAAGATTTGCCCATGAAAATAAAAACCCAAAGTGAATATTGAATTGGGCCATATTGAATTAGGCCTGACGTCAGCCTCCTCCCATCTCTAGAGTGCTCCGTTAAAGATCAGTCAATATAGCTGTCAATCAGATGATCAATCGGTCAATAAAGTTTCATTTTTAAAGTGCTTTTCCCTGTAACCTACAAGCAAATGACGTACAGTAGGTTGTTTTAAAGCGCTGGACAAAATACACAGATGGCTGGGCTTAAAGGGCGAGACAGGACTAAATCGTCACTTAAGACTTGGTCCCTCGGGGTGTTTATGAGTGACTCGGAGCAAGTGCAATTCACTCTGAAATTGTCGGTTGATAGTCTTGTGCAGCTGTCCTCTCTACCTAAAATATACCACTTGTTTCCACACTGTGCTCTCTTTAGCCAGACTGTTGTTTTGACTGGTGTAATGCACTGGGGGAGAGAGAGAGAGAGAGAACCAAAATGAGAGAGGGTTAAAGAGGGAGCATGAAAGCAAGAGAGAGCGAGGGAGAGAGCATACTACTCGCCTCTCATTGGTGACTCAGAGCATTCTGTCTTTTTGCGTAGCGTGCTCCCAGCCTATCGGCTGCCTTAACAATATTTTGGGTTTATGAATGAAATGAATAGTGAGAGAGCAGGACAGGAGTAGTTTGATTCATCACCCATAGCCCGTGGTGTGGAGAGTATACCAAAGAGATAGGTGCGCTTCTTTGCTGTGCAGTCTGACTTGGAGGGCCACTGGATTTAATGGCAGAGATCAACAGATGAATAAGCACCTGCAAACACCTCCTCTTGGCTTTAATGTCTCATACAGGAGTGACTACAATCTACACAGTAGATGTTTCGGTGCAAACTTGTGGCCTGATTAGCACTGATGGACGGGGATATAGAAGAGCAGCCTCTTCAGTTACGTTTAGTTACATAATTTGTTTAGTTAACTTTAGGTATGTATGTCATTTTATTATACAATCAATTGATTCTGCCTCCAGTCATATTTATTGCAGCAGCAGTTCTTTTGTCTTTTTTCCAGAAAATAATGGAGTAAAGCTGCACTTCAGACAAAACAGTGACATTGCCTTGTCCTCCACACGCCCAAAATGTCACATTCTCTCCAACCAAGATAACAACCCTCCATTAAGATGAATCGAATGGAAATTTACTTAAGATGTGGAAAGCTTAAAAGTTGTAAATTACAGGGAACTTAAACGTGCAGCAGACAGTACGAGAGGGTATT